TGGAAAATAGCATGTTCACAACTTTGGGGCTTTGGACATGGGTATATTTCATGCAGTGGGAGGAACTCATTATTCCACCTACAATATTTATATGTACACTATATTGGCATATGTAATGAAACCTGATGCTGTTAGATATTGCACTTGTCTCATTCACTAATACACAATAAGATAGTTGCATAAACACTAAGGCGATTTATACCCTTTCTATGAAACTTGGCTATAAAATTTGCTCTAAACAAACTATATAAAAAACCTCTTTGAGTGAAAGATAAACAAAAAGCATTTGGGCCCAAGGTTGCACAGCGTGTCCACAAATACACATGGACTCACATATCACTTGTTACAAAGAAATGAAGAATCAACTCAATCAGCCAGCCAGGCAAACACATTAGCCAAACCCCAGTTATCAGTGATGACAGGTAAAAGAATTACCTGCCAGCTTTCATCTCCTATTTGTCAAAGCTCCTCCTCTGAGACATTAAGACACCTATACTTCAGGTTATGTCTACACGAGTGCTCAAGAAGTTCCAGGCATCTGTGTCTAGGTGCTTAGGGGAGATGCAGGGCACAGCTATAAAGTAAGACCCTGTCTTACCTTGTTTGTGTTGATGATGTTTTAAATGCATACAAATGTCAAAACATGAGATCTTACATTTTTGTAATGTATTTTCTGCCTGTAATTTTCAATGATATAAAGTTGTTTGATTATTAAGCATGTCAAGAAATCAAACCTCAACAAGGAAGAAAGTGAGTAATAGAAGCACATGTTTCAATATTATACAACAAGTGAGAGCATAATTCAGTTGCCATAGATGCAAAAGTAGAAGAATGGTACCTAGGCAGTAGGGGTGACCTGACTCCCTGAAGCTCATTTTGCAGGTGCTAAGATTATCTGCTCATTTCCCAGTCATACCTGAACCACCCAGAGTCCTTGTGATTGGAGCAGCAGGTCAAATTGAATAATCACTGTTGTTAAAGACCAGCCTATGATTCTTGTGTTGTTGGCTACCACTCCAATGATGGGTCTACTGTACGGTGTCCTCCTGAATTGCATGACTGTGCCCTTGCCCTCATGAGTGATGTCATGGCCACAGACAAGAAAGTAGCTGCCTTCAAGGACCTGGAGGTGATCACTCTTGTGTGTTCCAAATGTCAAGAAGGGATGACGTGGAAAGGAAAGGTTTACACAAAGCAGATGTAAAAAGTCTTTGAGCATGAGTGGAGAAACTTGCCTCGAAATAATTAAGATTGCTGTAGTGGAAAACTCAGCCTATACCAAATACCTAAGCCTTACAGGTAAGTTCTGCCCATCTCCAAGGAGTTCTCCAGTAGCTGGATTAGTTGAGATCACAACAGAGGTAAAAAAATAAATAAATAAATAAAATTAAGGAAGGAACAACACATTACATGCACAATGTATTATTATTATTAGTCATTTAATCTTTCAAATAATGCCACAGGATAACAATCATATACATCTCCAATGCACTATCCATTTGAGAAGACCAGTATAGAACTGGAAAAATGTTGACAAACTTATTGTAAAGATGAAATATATTAAGCATACTTCCCTATATGATCATGTTAATAAGGGTACTCCAGAGACACACAGAGAAAAGAGATTATATTGCTACAGAAAAATAGAGATAAAAGAGAATTTTCAGACAGAAATCTACAAAGCAGATCAGCGCTGCCAGAACTGAAATAAAGTCTTGAATAAAAAGACAGGAAAGTAGGTAGAATTTTTATGTTGTAGTCTTTGCTCTTTAAGACATATACATCATGAAATATTACTCAGCATTCAAAAAAGATAAACACATGCAATTTGCAGCAACATGGATGGAGCTAGAAGGGATCGTGCTCAGTGAAATAAGCCAGAAAGAAAAAGAAAAATACTGGATGGTCTCACTCATAGCAGGAATATAGAAAACTTAAATAAGGGACCAGGAAAAAGAATAACTATAAGAAAGAAAATATCAAAATCAACAAACAACTATGAACCAGAGACACTCTATGGAGGTTGAGGGGTGGGGAAAGGAGGGCTTGGGGTCAAAATAAGGGGGTTGTAATTGTAAGGGGAATATAAAAATAAATTTAAATAATAATTAAAAAAAAACAAAGCTGCCCGGAGCCTCTGCAGTGCTGGTTCGATCCCCAGCCACCGTTGAGGGTCCCACATGGCGTGCAGACCTCTCCTGTCTCACCCACTGCTTCCCTCAACAGTGTACTTCGTCAGTGTGCCTGTTCTGCTCCCTGCTCTGGCTCTGGTGAATTATCTCACCCTCCCACGCTTCTGACTGTACCTAGTGCTTGTATAAATAAATAAATACATCTTTAAAAAAAAAGACATTAAACTGCTTTGGGTGAATCCTACCCACACTGGGAAAAGTAATGGGCTGAATTCAAAAGCTATTGAGTTAAATGTAAGTAACATCTAAAAATTATCTTCACAGGAACATCTAGACTGATGTTCACCCAAACCATGAAGCCCCCCAGCACCCCTGCCTGCCGTGTACCTGGTAAACTCAATAAAAGCCTGAAAAAGCCACTGAGGGCCCCAGGACTCTCTCCTCCTTTACCTGTCTGCTCCAATCATAGAAAACCTGCACTATGCCCCTCCTGCCACTACACTAATCAAAAGTAAAAGATAGGAATGTAATACAAAAAAAAAAAATCTGACTCAGACTCACTTACCTGTGAATAAAAATCGTTTTAAACAATTACTAAGCACTCCCCTCCCCATGCATCTGTTAAGCTTTCAAATGCTTCAGGGACAAGCAAGAAATTGTCATCTCCTCGGGGAGAGACTCCAAGAGTAAAAAGAGTCTATAAATTGTTCTCACTGTGCCAGGTTACGAAGCACCTGGGAGAGGCAAGACAGAGACTTCACTATAGGTAAACAGTGTATTACATGCAGTGTCATAAATTACCAACATCTGAATAGCTTGGGTGACATTCTTGAGACAGAACTTTTATTCAGTGGCCAAGAATAGAAAAGTATTAGGAATTTCTGATTCAATTCTGTGTGTATTCTATTATTGATAATGCACAAGCAGAATAGAACTGCTCTCCTTTTTCTTCATATTAATTTTTCAAACATTTTCATAAATACTAAAGAGCATCTTTGAAAAGTCCAGTATTTATGTCAGCATAAATACTTAATCAAACAATGGAGCTCAAACTGACAATAAAGAAATCCAAGCTCAAGAGCCAGGAATTTCAAGAGATGATATCAGATATTAGAATATGGAACCTGTAGGTATTAAGTTTCTAGTTGTCCTTCTAAATCCTCATTTATTGACTAAGATGTCTCTTCCCTTCTCAGAAATATTATGATAATTACAGATTATTTAAATCTGTGTAAATATGAAATTTTTTATCTCTTCACCAGGAAACCAGAAGATTTCCACTTTACATGGAAATGTGAAATGCTATGAATGGTAAAATATGAGAAAGAACTTTGATATTTTCTATAAAAGTCTAAATTTGGTGATAAGAGACCTTCTATCTTTTCTTATTTTATAAGAAAAGTTAATGCTCTCCAATATGATTTTTTTTCTTTAATTTCTCATCTTTTTATCTAAACCTCATTTATATTGCTTCTTATCGAATTCACTTAAAATATTTTTCTTATTTATAGTTCAGTATTTCTGACATAAGAGTGGGTATTAGATCAAAATGCCATAACCTTATAAACAAGGTTTATGTGAGATGAGTGTGAATTTCCTCTAAACATGTTTAGAATTTAATGTTACAAATGTATTTTCTGTTTCTTTCTTTCTTAGAGCTCATTCAATGTTTCTGATACCCATGATTTTTTTTCTTTGTAATCAGGAATAAATACTTTTTTCTTTCTTTTCTTTAAAGAAACTTTAGTACAATTTTTAAACCAGTCAGTCATTTACTTTAGCTTGTGATCCTCATTCTACTTTGGTTTTTCTTATAATTGGTGATTTATTGGTAATATTATAAACACCTTTATTTCATTATACTTATGTATGTCCACATTAAATGCTATACTATGATAGTACAATTATTTGTGAGTTTAAAGTGCAGACAGATGTGAAATAACATTCCAGAATGCATATATAAATATGTAATCATATCTATATCTAAAATATATATTTTATCTTGCCAGTATTCTGATATGTAATGTAACGATTTTAAAGCTGTGGTTTCATTTCATCCTGTTGCACCTATGGACATAGGTGTGTTCACAGGAACATGTTTCAAACTAGAAGTTTCTAAACCTTCCACACATAATTAGAATTTGGATTGTATAATTATGTATTAAAATAGGCATCATGACATACTAAGTAACAGTAGCTCTGTAAATGTAATTATGAAATTATCATTATATAAAAAAGGAAAATTTTAATAATCACCTATAAAACCAACACATAAATTCTGTACAATTTTTTAAATTTTTGATTCCTATGTCTACATCTATCAATATGTACATCTTATCTATAACTCCATCTACCCCTCCATCCATCTCTATCAATAATAGCTACATACATACATACATACATACACACATGCTTACATATATATTTTTCCTGCCAAACTTGGCCCTTTGGCATTTTTGACTATATAATCCCTTGTTGTGGGAGGCCACCCTGACAAAAAGAGTTACTAGCAACATAACCGATGTTAATGAGTAGTTGCCAGTATCACATCCTCCTCCAGCTGTGACAATATCTCAAAACATTATAAAAAATTATCAAATATTTCTTGGGTAGATAGATCTTCTCAAATGGAAACCACAAATTTATATCATTGCTGTTTCTATTTCTAAATATGTATGTTATATTTTCAGGAGACATAATATTTTAATAAAGTCTAAGTAATAAATCTGAATTTATTTTGTTTTATTTTTACCTGCTTTACAAACAAACAAACAAACAACAACAACAACAAAAACTCCAGAATTTACTACAAGAAACCTATTGACTCTACTATCCTTCTGTTCAGAGTAGACTTTTTGATAAACTTGGATGGAAAGACACAATCTATCGATGCTGACTGAGTTCGTTCTCCTGGGAATCACAGACCGCCCGGAGCTGCAGGCACCCTTATTTGGGCTCTTCCTCATTATCTACATGTTCTCGCTGATGGGCAACTTGGGCATGATCGTCCTCACCAACATAGATGCCAGGCTGCAAACACCCATGTACTTCTTTCTCAGACATCTGGCTTTCACTGATCTTGGTTATTCAACAGCTGTGGGACCCAAAATGTTAGTAAATTTTGTTGTGGAGCACAACACAATCTATTTTTATTCTTGTGCCATGCAGATGGCTTTCTTTATCATGTTCATTATTAGTGAACTCTTTATTCTGTCGGCAATGTCCTATGACCGCTACGTGGCCATCTGTAACCCCCTACTCTACACAGTGGTCATGTCACAAAGGGTTTGTCTGGGGCTGGTGGCAGTGCCCTATCTCTACAGCACATGTGTTTCTCTTCTAATCACCATAAAGCTTTTTAATTTACCCTTCTGTGGCTATAATATTGTCAATCATTTCTACTGTGACAACTTCCCCTTGTTGTCTTTGCTTTGCTCAAATACACAAGAAATTGAATTCCTAATAATGATTTTCTCAGCTTTTAATTTGGTTTTCACCCTTCTGATAGTTCTCGTGTCTTACATGCTCATCGTTTTGGCCATTCTCAGGATGAACTCTGCTGAGGGGAGGCGCAAGGCTTTTTCCACCTGTGGGTCCCACATGACAGTGGTCACTGTGTTCTACGGGACGCTAATATTTATGTATGTAAAGCCCAAGTCCAGCCATTCCTTTGACACGGATAAAATGGCATCTATATTTTACACTCTCATCATCCCCATGCTGAATCCCTTGATCTATAGCTTAAGGAACAAAGATGTAAAGCATGCACTGCATCGAATGTGGAATAAACTCTGCAATGTCTTTTCTTAAAGTTCATTCTCAATTTGATTCCTGTAAATTAGGAATCAAACATTATCATGTTTGCTTTCATAGGGAAACACAAACAAGTTCTTCATGTATTTAGAGAATGGCTTGTTTGACCAGTAATTCTTTTATGTTCATAAACACATAACTTGCAAACCATTAAAATTATTTGTCACCTCTAAGGGGAAGAAAGCAAATAGAAGTTAATAATTAAGTAAATACTATGATACAATAAGGTGTGTTAAAGTGCTACAGGCCATGAGAACATGTGAGAAGAGGGGATATGTTGTATTACATGGGGCAAAATACTAAGTACAGAAGGGGGTAAAGTGACTTTTATTTCCAACCTTTCAAATAAACGTTCATGTGTCTATGTTTGTTTGTGCATGTGTGTGTGTTTTATGTAAGCACATTCATTTAGCCTTCTATTCTGTGAGGCATGGTAGGATCAGATTGTGATTTAGGAAGTATATTGTAGTGGGATATTGTTGAATCAGTTGACTGAATTTGTTCTTATGTCCGCATTCCCCATTGGGATATTAGGATCTTATTCCTTTCTCATTGATACCATTGTTTTCACATTTCAGTCCTAAAGAGTCTCTGAATTCAACATACTTAAAGTTTCAGCAACCCAGATGAGTACAACATTTAGCTTTGTCTATCTCAGTGGGCTGCATATACCAATGGACATTTTGATTAAAGTGACTGTGTTGATTTCTCCCATGGATGCTTAAAGTGTCTTCCTTTTTATAAACTTGAATTTTACTCCTAAGTGTGTGTTTTGTGCAAGCATTGTTGCTATTCTTCATTTCTGCAAAATTAAAAAGTGAATATTGCTTAAAAATGCTCTTAAAGTTTGTATATTTGCAGATAGGGTTATTTTATGATGAATTGTTTGTTGTCTGACTTTCATGTTGCTGAATTTACTCAAATTCGGTTCATATGAGGGTTTACTATATTTTTATTACCACCCATTGTTTCACTGCATTGATTTCATAATTCCTCTTTTAGGAAGTAAAAGATGATAATCCCATTGTTTGTTCTATGCAATGTTAATTAAGAAGGTGTCATACTACTTGTAAAAATTTATGCACTTACTTCTTGTGGAAAAATTTCTTCAAATGTATTAATGCACTGCACTGTGTAATTAGTTGTGTACCTGTACAACAATAACAAAAAATCCAGAAAGGAAATTAAGAAAATAACCCCTTCAGGAAAGCTATGGGAGCATAAGAGGTACTGGTCATCAGAACAATCTCTCATATATATATATATATATATATATATATATATATATGTATGTATATGTATATATATAGTTTCTATGAGTGTAGTTTCTGTGAGTGATACATATATACATATATATTCACAAACAATAGATATGAGGCAGGTATGCCACATAGACTATCATTCACATTGTTTTTAGAGGGACAGATTCAAAGCTCTCCCTTTATGCTACACATTGTAATGTGTTGAAAATAGTGGACAGTAGGAAATAAACAAAATATCTACCTACATAAGTGAAGAAGCAATAGTTTTTAAGAATATACCATGGGGGGGGCCTCCCTGGTGGCACACAGGGTTGAGCACAGCACTATGGAGCAATCTATAGCCTCTGCAGCATGAGTTCGATGCCCGGCCACCGGGGAGCAACCCATATGGCACAAGCAGACCTCTCCTGTCTCATCCACTGCTCCCCTCAGCAGTGTACTGCAGTGGATCTGCCTGTTCTGCTCCCCACTCTGTCTCTGGTGAATCCTCTCATCCTCCACACCTCTGACATGTACCCCAGTTCTTGTATGCATGAATAAATAAAATCTTTAAAAAAAGAATATACCATGGATTCTAATAGAAAAAGAGTCATAACATCAGAGGACAGCAATAAAGTGACCGAAAATGTAGCAATAGAATCTAGAGAATAGCAAATGTATAGTAATATGTGCATATCAACAAAAATGTTACATTTTCAGAGTATACTGTACTGATAGTAAAAATAAACCAAAATTAAAAATTATAGAAAAATTCTCAATAAAATCTTGTAAGAAGTCAGTAATGAAACCTGACTATGGACTGAGACAAAAGAGTAATTTCTACCTTTAAGGAGACAAAACAACATCAGTGAACAATGCCTTAAATTGCAAAACATATATTTTAATTTCATCTACATTTTGAGTGATATAAAAAAGCAGAATTTAGTCACTTCTCCAGTGTGTCACCTATTTGAGGAGACCACTACAGAAATGGGTACTCATTGTACCCTAAACAACATTTTAATCAAGACCCTTATGTGGAACAAATGTTATCTCAACAAAAATTTTAAATTAGAAATATTTTTTTTAAAAAAATCACTAATCTAAAAAAAGAGTCTCTTGTGTTACAAATGGAGAGCAAAAAAAAAATAGAAGTTTCAATAAATTAATTAATGAAACAAGCAAACAAGTGTACTCACTGGTGAATACCAGTTGTCCCTGAGAATTAATGGCCAACCTCCAGGTATTTTATTAAGTTCTCATATGCTTTCAGCATAATCAACAAATTGGTTGGCATCTCCTTAGGGAGAGTCTCAAAATGTGAAAAAAAAATCTATAAATTCTTCTCAATATGCCCTGCTCAGAAACACATGTGGGAATCAAGACAGACACTGCTTTACAGGTAAAAACATAGCATATTTCACAAGCGATCCCATGTCACCAGTTTTCACAGTAATGTGGAGTTCTGCTTTAATCCAAATGCAAAGCCCTAGCAAAAAGCATTTTGTTTCTCTTTCCTTTCTAGCCTGAGCAGAATTTGGACCTCTGCCCTTGGTCTCTTCATGTTATTATTATTATTAATATTTTCACATGGATTCAGGTACTGAATGATCAGAAGCACTTTGATACTTTGTCAAACCACTTATAACATATTTGTTTTATATGTTTTATCTCTAATAGAAAATGCCAAAACTTAGAGCAAATGAAGCACAATTAACAAACATTTTTTTTAATTGACAAAATTAAGAAAATGCAGTTATGCAGTCTCTAATATTGATCTTCTAACTAGTTGTTTAGTGGATTTTAGTTCTTTGGTGACCCTCTCCAAAATAATTTAACATATACTGATTACTTAAATAAATATTGAATTTGTTTCTCATCATGTTTTGTTAAAATTTAGTCATGGGGAGAGGGAAAAAGTGAGAACATTCTGTTTAACCAGTTCCTCACCATCAGTATAACCTTGCTGAGGAAGTAGAATCAAATCCAGAGATGTTAATCGACTTATGTAAAGAAAAGTTTTCAGGTAAGTTATTATTGCCATTTTTAAAATTTAAAATCATGATGCACTTGGTATTTGATGACTTCTTCCAGAAAAAAATACAAATCGAATCATTAAATCCTTTCTTTCTTCCCAATAACCCTGATATGAAATGTTAGTTTTAGGTACAAGAATGAAGAGTCTTAGATAACTTCTGTTTTATTCTGCCCAAAATAATCTTTTATTTATACCATAATTTAAGGCATGATAAAATCTATCCATCTATTTTTATCTATCTATCTATTATATATATATGGGAATTTGTGGTTTGAAGGTTTTACTTTATCATAGCATATATATGTGTCATAAATTATAAATTTATTTTATAAGTGTAATTATGTGATTGTTTAAATAAATGATAAATAAAAATTGTTATAGAACAGTACAATAATCATCCATATACACAACACATGAAATTTTAACTATTTTTGCTTTATATGTCAATATTTTTGTAACTGTGTATCTATCTACCTACCTACCTATCACTCATCTACCAATCTCTATAGGAAAAGAGTTTTTCAGCCATGGCACTGTTATTATTATTGATTGGATTTTGTTGTGTGCTGGATATTGGAACTAATACTTAGTAACTTTACTGAATTCTAAACATGAAAAATCAGGAACATCTCAACTCTCAGTTGCGTGGGAGATGAGTTTTTTTTCAAATATCTTAAATTGCAAAGTTTGCATATCATCTATACTGCTTTATATAATAATCATTCTCCAGAAAAGGACATATAAAATATATTGACTGTGCTATTATCTCTTTCCAGATATATTTTCCGATTGACGTGGATGGACAAGCAGAACCTAACAGTAGTGACTGAGTTCATTCTCCTGGGAATCACAGACCGGCCTGAGCTGCAGGCACCATTATTTGGGCTCTTCCTCACCATCTACATGCTCTCTCTGGTGGGCAACTTGGGCATGATCGTCCTCACCAAGATGGATGCCAAGCTACAAACACCCATGTACTTCTTTCTCAAGCACCTGGCTTTTACCGATCTCGGGTATTCAACAACGGTGGGACCGAAAATGCTAGTAAATTTTGTTGCGGGAAAAAATACCATCTCCTTTTGTCTTTGTGCCACACAGTTGTCTTTTTTTCTGGTGTTCATTATTAGCGAACTCTTTATTCTGTCGGCAATGTCCTATGACCGCTACGTGGCCATCTGTAACCCCCTGCTCTACACAGTGGTCATGTCACAAAGGGTATGTATGGTGCTGGTGGCCATTCCCTATCTCTACAGCACATTTGTCTCTCTTCTAGTCACCATAAAGATTTTCAAACTATCCTTTTGCGGCTACAATGTTATCAGCCATTTCTACTGTGACAGTCTCCCCTTGTTATCTTTGCTTTGCTCAAATACGAATGAAATTGAATGGATCATTCTGATCTTAGCAGGGTTTAATTTGATTTTCTCTCTTCTGATAGTTGTCGTGTCTTACATGCTTATTCTTGTGGCCATTCTCAGGATGAACTCTGCTGAGGGGAGGCACAAAGCTTTTTCCACCTGTGGGTCCCACTTGACAGTGGCCACTGTGTTCTATGGGACCCTAATATTTATGTATGTGCAGCCCAAGTCCAGCCATTCCTTTGACACTGATAAAGTGGCTTCCATATTTTATACCCTTGTTATCCCCATGTTGAATCCCTTAATCTATAGCTTGAGGAACAAAGATGTAAAATATGCACTACAAAGGGTGTGGAAAAAAATTTACAATTTTTTTTCTTAAAGTTCACATACCACATGATTCCTATGAATTAGATTATGAGCCTCAAACTTTGTTCTGTGTGTCTCTGGGAGATAGAGCATACTAAATGTTTTCAACTTATATTTGAAGGTCGCCTTCTAAGTAAGCACCAGTCACATTGCTGTGTGCTGCAGATAGTGAACAAAACAGGAAAAAGCTTGGCCTAATTATTGGCTGAATTAACATGGAGAGATGAATTATAAATAATAAATAAATGGGGCAGGGAACTATAAGCCCAAAGAGCAAGAAAACATTGTAGTTACAGCCTGGGGGAGAAAGGAGAAACATTAGGTACAAAGGAGAGTCACAGGGATGTATATTATTCTCAACTGCTAGAAAAAACTCATTGTCTTCATGTGCTTGTGCATGTAGGTGTGCAAGCACATTATTCTGTTTTAGCCTTCATAGTCTTCTATGGCAGATGTTAAAAATCTAACTTTATAATTGTGGTGTCTAGGTGGTTCAGTGTGCTGCACTGATTTGCAGCTGGCAGTCATCTGAATTTGCTGAAATGTTCCATATCACTTGGAGATGTTGAGGTCCTCTCTTTTCTCACTAGTACTATTATGCTCCTATATGAGCACTAGAGGGTCTAATAACTCAGCATACTTAGCAATTCAGCAACTCACACTATCAGTGTCTTTTTTTTCTGATGCCATTTCTCTATACCAGTAGATTTAATAGTTAAATAAATTTTCCTTGTTTATAGTTAACAAAATGTATTTATTGTGTACATTAAAGTTACTAAGAAAGTTAATCTTAAGTGTTCATACTACGAAAAAAAAGCAATTAATATGATGTGATAGAGATTTAATGCTGTTGTACTTATGTTGCAATTCATATGTATATAAAATCAACATGCTATATAGTTTAAATTTAGTATATTGTGTTTATTATATCTCAATAAAGCTGGAAGAAAAGATAAATTTCTTGAAGACTTTTATGGAAGATTCCGTTTTTTAAAGTTTGTTTTTACCAGCTTGACCTTGATTGCAGGTTGCTTATTTTTGGCTCATGGATTATCACTATTCCTTATCTCTTTGGATAATAAGAACATTTCTTTTATAAGAGGTGTGTTGTAATTGTTTTTTGGTAAGAGGTATAGTCTATGGAGGATTAAATTTGTTGATTCTCTGTCATGTGGCTGACTCTTCTCAACATTAGTTCAGATGAATGTACATTATATTTTTATTGACTTCTATTGTCTGTATTGATTTAATATGCCCTTTTTCCAGAAATAAAAGGAAATAATCCCATGGTTTGATCTGTGGTATGTTCCTAGTGAAAGTACAGTTTGAAATAAAACAATCTATACCACAGTTTAATCTTCTTGACTCCCTTCCTTCAAATCCTCCCTAAATAACCACTTTTTGGTATATTTTTAATATTTTTAACATTCATAGGACTTTACAACATCAAGAGACTAAGACTATATTCCACTACCATGGAATACAATTTTTATGTAATCTCAATTTGAGTAAGAGTAGTTTATCAGAATAAGAAAATATGTGTTAGATATATTGTCATGCGCATATGCATATTACTCAAAATTTTAGAGTTAATTTTTCAAAGTGATTATAAAAGCTACATACTTTGCAAATATACACATAAGAAGAAGTTTTTGCTTTCTAGAAAGCATGAGTTGAACAGAGATACTGTGTAATGTTAATATTAGTTTTTGTGGATTTTATAGTCAGATAGATGGGATTTTCATTGCTTTTGTTTTGTCTGACCCTTTATTTCACTTCTCTATATTCTATATATGATGAAACCAAGGAACAGACTTTTCAACAATTTTACATATATGTGTATATATTATACTGTAATACATACATATATGCAATCTATATAGATTTGTTTCATCTATACCACATACATATATGCAAAACAATAAGCACGGATTCATAACTCAAAGTTCCACAAAAACTGGAACACAGGTATAATTGTAATACCTAAATGTATAAAAACTTTCAGGAGAAAGTATTGTGAAAATATTCACAACCTCAGGTTAATCAGAAACTTATTAGATACAACACCAAAGATAAACTGATTAAATAAAAGTCTGATACATTGGACAAAATCAAAATTTAAATAATTTTCATTTCAAAGGACACTATTAAGAGGGTGCAAATCAATTTATATTTTGAGAGACAATATTTTCAATTAATGTATCATAAAAATCATGCTTCTACAATAAATACAGAAGTCTCAGGCTCAATAATAAAAAAGATCTCCAGAATGAGCACAATATTTGAACAATCACATCACCAAAGCACATAAAATCTTGTTCAGCATCAAAACTCATTAACAAAATTCAAATCTAAACCTTAGCAATATACCTTCTACAGTATCTGAATGTTGGTGCCTATATGGAAGAATAGAGGTACCATCTGAAAGAGGTATTTGTTGAAATCCAATGTTAGTTACCTCAATAAGAAATAATACAAAAAAACTAGAAATAATAAAATTACAAAATAAATGAGTTCAGATAGCTCTTCCTGAAGGTTTTCATTTTCCCTTTCTTTTTTTTTCTTTCTTTCTTTTTTTTTTTTTTTTTGGTGACTTCAACTCAAAGGAATCAACATGCCAAGGAAGCAATATTTTGGGGTGGCATGTCTTGAACTCTAGCACTTGCCATGGATCTTCATATATAAGCCTTTAAGGACAGATGCTATCATTTCTCCTACGTAAATACAAAGGAGTGGATTGGCTAAATATTTGCTAAATTCATGCTTAATTCTTAAAAACTGATGCATCTAACAAACTTTTCAACTATTTGTACCATTTTTATTTTTTTTAAGATTTTTTTTTAAAGATTTATTTATTTGTTTGTTTGTTTGTTTATTTATTTATTTATTTATTTATACAAGCACTGGGTACAGTCAGAAGCGCGGGAGGGTAAGAGAATTCACCAGAGCCAGAGTGGGGAGCAGAGCAGGCAGAAGGACGGAAGTACACTGCTGAGGGGAGCAGCGGGCGGCAGGAGAGGTTCTGCGCACCATGTGGGACCCTCCTCCGGTGGCCGGGGAGCAGCCGGGGATCGAACCGGCGCTGCAGAGGCTGCGGGCAGCTTCGCAACCCAGCGCTCAACCGCTGCGCCACCGGGGAGTAACCTGTACCATTTTTATTTTTCACCAACATTTCATCAGCTGTCTCATGAACCTTAAGTATTCCATATTCCTTCTATTAATTATGGTAGTATGTGAAAATCAAAGATAAAGAAAAATGTGCTCAATTAATGTCAATTTATGGTTAATGCAAATATTTTCCCCTCCCATCATCAGCTGCCTATAAAATTGACATTATAGAATAGAAAATCTATAGAATCACAGAATTTCCAGCTCTGTCCATCAGCCTGGAAGCTCTCAAACAACCTAACATCTGGGTTTTTGTGGAGGTTTCATTAGATCATTGTTGAGTCATTGATAGGGATTGATTCAACCTCCAGCTATATTCCCTCTCCCAAAATTGGGAAGTGGGACTATACTAAAATCTTCAACAATCTATTCAAGGTCAATTCCCATGGCAACCAACCCCTATCCCTAGGTGCTTTCCAAAGTTGTCTCATTAACATAACAAAAGGCACCATCAAGGCTCTTACCACTTAGGAAATTCCAAAGGTTTAGGAGCTCTACCAGAATCTGGTGAAAACCAAATATGTGTGTGTGTGTGTGTGTGTGTGTGTGTGTGTGTAATTACAATCGCAACATCACAACTACCGGTTAAAAGATAAATCAATGAAGGCAAATTTCAACTATACAATTATATACATACATATATATATTTTTTCTTGGAACTGTGAAAACCAATTATATTTTTCTTAATTAGTACCCTATTTTTATGTCCTTAAATGTAAGTATTATTATATGGTTATTTCCTTCAAATGACAGAAAAATCTAAACATAATACTGTATTTTGTATTGACTCACAATTTAGAATATCAGAAGACCAATATAATAGACTATTGTTCTTGTGACACAGCTTTATAATGAAATAGCTCCCCTTTATGGCTGTTTCCTCACATGACAAGCAAATAATAGAAAGAAAAGATCTGTCCCATCCTTAGAGGTTTTAACATTCATAAATGCTTGAAAGTGAGAACTAGCTGGTAGAATGTTACAGAATTAACAGGGATTTGAAATTAACAGCTGAAATGTTTGACTCATAACTCTTTTCACAGCATCTTTCACTTCTTTGTTTCTCAGACTGTAAATCAGTGGGTTTAACATGGGGATTACCAGGGTATAAAACACAGAAACCACCTTCTCCTGTTCTACGGAATACTGGGAGCTCGGCTGAATGTAACTAAAGCTTAAGGTGCCATAGAATATGGTGACAGCAGTGAGGTGAGAGGCACAGGTGGAAAAGGCTTTCTGTCTGCCTGTTGTTGAGCGGATTCTCAGGATAGCAGAAACAATAAATACATAGGAAATGATTACAACCAAGAAGGTGCCCATGGCAATAACCCCAGAGAAGGTTAAGAGCAACAACTCATTCATGGAAGTGTCAGAACACGACAGCTTCAGGAGGGAGGGAATATCACAGAAGAAGTGGCTGACCACATTCAGTCTGCAGAAAGACAGTCTCCCCAAGCTTACCGTGTGTACTAAGGAGTTAATTGTCCCACATACCCAGGAACCAACGACCAGCCCTATACATTTTCTTTTAGACATGGCTACAGTGTAAAGCAAAGGGTTCACAATGGCCACGTAGCGGTCATATGCCATTACTGACAGCAAGAAACCTTCCGTGGTAACGAACATCCCAAAGCACAAATGCTGCACGATGCAAGCAAAGAAAGAAATGGTGCCCTTTACAGCAAGCAGATTTGTCAGCATCTTGGGTGCAATCGCAGATGAATAGCAGGTGTCCACGAAAGAAAGGCAGCTGAGGAAAAAGTACATGGGTGTATGAAGCTTGGGAGTGGTTTGGATTATGAAGATCATGCCCAGATTCCCCACCAAAGTCACGGCATAAATCATTAGGAACAATACAAATAATATAACCTTTAGATCATTGCGTTCTGTCAATCCCAAAAGAATAAACTCTGTAACAACTGTAAAATTCTCTTCAGCCATTTGTTTCTTTCTTTTCATAAAATCTGTCATTAAAAAATTATAGCAATTACAATTTATTAGGAGGAAGCACAAAGTATAAATATATTAAGATTAAATAAAATAGTGGCATTCTTTGGATTAATAATATTCCTTCTTTGAATCTGTATTTTTAATCAATAATGATTACAATTGGAGCTAGTTGATTTTCTGTCCCTTGAAGATGTTTTATTGCTTTTCATGATTATATTCCATAAAAATTAATATGTGAAAAATGTCTCTCAAATGTCTACTTCAATAAGCCAAATGATACTGTAACAGGGTGGTCCCCAGGAAAGGGGGAGGTTCCAGGTTCCCTGCCCCACCCAAGGGAGGGTGGAGCTGAGCAGGAAGAGGAGAAGCTGCAGAAGAGACTGAGGAAGGAAGGAAGCAGGATGGAGCCAGGAGACCTGGAGGAGGCACATGGAGCCTAGAGACACGTGAAGAAGCTGCGCTTGTCTTTTGGTCGTGGACGGGGTGACACAGATGTGGGTGAGACCCGTGGGGAGGTGACAATGGCAGCTTTTATCTTGATGTTGATTTTGCTCTTTTCCTTCTGGGCTTGTCCAGTTGTTTGTGACCCTTTTCTGTGGGTCTCCACTGGAAGATGCTTTAGACTTGTGGCAGGCCTTGGGGCCTTGCTCTGGGCCAATCCCATATGGATGGACTTTTACCCACGAGGGGATGGGTAACTTTGGGTGCTTCATTTAGAAACTAGACTCTTTGCCTTACCTGTGTTGTTTCCTAGTTTAATTAAAGTTCCTTCCCATTAAAGTCTCCTATGTTTTGTGTTGATGCGGCGGATGGCAGAACCCATTTAGAATAGGCAGGTTTGTGGGGCTTGGGCTGCCCCTCTCCCTGTCCTATAACAATACTACCACTAAGAAAACACCACAGGCAATGATAATAGCATGTATAATGCATATCAGTGGAAAGTTCAATTCCATTCAGTGAAATTGTCAGCATGAAATAATTAAATGGAAAGAGGCACTAAAATTATATTTGTTTTGAAGTTATATATGGAATTAATCTACAATACATAATTAGGAAACAAAGTGGCCGCAACCATATAGTAAAAAGATTTGGGCACCTACAGTAATGACATTAAAAAATAACAAGGATTTTCACTTCTATGATCATCGGAGAGCATTGGCTCGCAACACCTAACTCTGAAATTCATGAAATAGAATCCTATGTCTTGCAAGATACCTATCAAAAATAGCCAGATCCTTGCTTCTGAGCAGTCTTCCCCGAGGCCATGATGGAGCACAGCCATGGAAGCTCACTAACCCTGCACATCTGGGCCAGATGGAAACTTTCTGCTTTTTCTGAGATCTAAATAATTTTAGAAATGCAAACAAAAGCACTAGTTCAGAAAATGTGTGTGTGTGTGTGTGTGTGTGTATCACCAAATATTCTCTGTGATCATTCTTCATATTATTCAACTTTATAATGCATAATTTAAGCAATTTAAGCCTCTGTAAAAATACAAATTCCACGGGATTGTTGGATATCTATATACTCAAAATTCACATTTGTTTCAGAATTGTCTCTTCTCTGTTAAATTGAGGTGTCATTTTAGAAATGATAATAAATGGAGATTAGTATAGTTTATAGTTTATACCCTTTACATATTTTAATTAAAACATTTCAACTGTCATAATGTTGAGAAGGCAGAAATCCACTAGTCCTTGGTCAAATTGTATTGTGAAAAAAACTATTTCTTTTTTTTTAAGATTTATTTATTTATGCATACAAGAACTGGGGTACAGGCCAGAAGTGCGAGGGAGGGGATGAGGGGATTCACCAGAGACAGAGTAGGGAGCAGAACAGGCAGATCTACTGAAATACAGCGGGTATGTCAGGAGAGGTCTGCTGCGCCATGTGGGTTGCTCCCTGGCCGGGTATCGAACTCGTGCTGCAATGACTGTGGCTAGCTTCGTAGTGCTGATGTTTAACCCCTTGAGCCACCAGGGAGGCCCAATAACTGACCTCATTTCATTGGACCACTTATTTAACTTCCTAGATCCAGGATAGAATTACACTTAACATCTCCAAGATTATTGAGAGGATGGAAGGAGACAACTCCAACAAGACATTTAGTATTGCTTTGAGAATAAATTAATTGGATATTAAAGCACATTAAATTGAAGATAGCTGCACAGCTGTATGAGATAAACTTAGCTAGACAGAACAGTGATATACATTTAGTGTTTGATATCTTTAGTACATTTTTGATAACACTAAACTTTGGAAATACTGCAGTTGGACAGTTCTATTTTAGAGTATTTCTGAAATCCACAAATACTATTTACTTACTTTAGTATCAAGCTAATACTGCATTTATTTTTAATAAAATAATTATATTCTTATTGAAATTTGACATAGTCCCTAAAGGTAGACAACAAAATGCACTCACAGATAAAAATCAGAATTACTGATTGCCTCTTCAGATGGATGTCACCACATCACACCTGTTGGTAACATTTTAAATGGAATTAAACAAACATGAATTTTAAGATTCAAACCACACATAGAATTCTATCATGTCAAATTTTCAATCATATGCAGAATAAATGATAAATATGAAAAATTAAAAGAAATAATTTTTTTTTTAAAAATGAGTAACTTACCAAAGATTAAAAGAATGTTTGATGTATTAGTTACCTAGAATGTTTATATCCATCTACATGGTTTCTTATTTTCACCTTAGAATTGGAATCCTTTAATGACTTTTTCTGAGATTCAAAATGATCATTATCTTAATAGTTGCTAATGGAAGATCATTTCAGATAAAACATAAATTGTGTAAAACAAACATAATGGAAAAAAAGAAATAATGGTTCTACATCTTTACTTGTTTCCTAGAAAAGAATGAAAGAGAGGACATGTATAATTATATATATATAATTTATTTTTGTTCTCATGAGGTTAGAATCCCTGTAACTTAGGCATTAATTACACTAATGGAACAGTAACAACAAAATTGCATTTTGGATTATGTTCTGTTTTCTTAAGGGACTTTGTCAAGGTATCCCAGTGGAAGTTATTTTCAGTAAGTTACATATGAAAAAACGTTCCCAAAAAAATGGAACAAAACATGGAGTCAATTGAGAAATGTTGACTGCAGGTGATTTTCCTAAATTGCATAGCATCTTATGAAGATATTGAATGGATAAAACCATAACCTTATAAGGCAAAAATGCACATGTGAAATCCAGCTTGATAATGACTATTCTTTGTTTAAAAAAAAAAAAAAAACTGCTTAGGAAGCAACATCCTAGTGTTGAAAAACAAAATTCACAAATTTAGAGATCTAATTGACAGCATTCTATTTAGATATAACAAGGGTTTACACAAAAGGATAGGCTGAAAAAGATTGGGATAAGTTTATTAACAAAAGGAAAATTATTTTGGATAAAACTTTCCTGACCAAGGTCCTTACTAAAATATCATTGAAAACAAGTATGTAATACTTAATGTGAATTTAACTGTAACTACAGTGTTGTCAACCACCCTTACCTCAAAATAAAATAATAATAAATTAGGTTTGGTTTCTTAAAAAATAACTGTTTGTAGCTCTGTCCTCTAGCTATAAAGTTGTTTCTCATAGGCATATGGTTCAAAAATTCTTAAGCCACTATAAAGGTATACTGAATTAAAAAAATGAAGTAAATGGATAATAGATCATCAGTGCTAGCTAGTTGTTCACTGCTGAGGTAGGAGATTACAGAAAAAGCAAGAAGACCCCAATGATTTATGTGATAATGCACTAGTGTCAGTTAACCAGAATAAACTCGTGTTCAGCTTACTATGCATTCTGAGGATTATATGTAGAAATAATTATATGTGTTTAAGCACATGAGAGCATCCCCCCCAAAAAAGAAAGAAAATTCTACATTTTACTGGAAATTTTGTAAAACTTTTACCACTGTCCTGCCCTCTGCCCAAGAGCTTGGAGTCAGAAGATCAATGACTCTTGTTTGCCGTGAAGAACCTCCTGGCAAGGAACAAAACAAATTTCCTAAACATCCACAACCAATCCTCTGGATGTCTGTAAATTGCCTGGCTCACTCATTGAGAAGGCTGGGAAATATGTGGGCATCTCATAAGCAAGAAACACAACTAACACCCAGATAATAGTTTCTAAGAACATTCTTCAACTAGGACTCCTATGATATCTGACTGATTTGAGAACAGGGTGGGAGATTTATATGATGAGCCCAAATACATTACAGTGTGTGAAAGTAATCATACCGAGGTAATTCACATGACTTGTTTTCTGGTGTTCTTACAAAACATCCACTCCTATTCCATGTTCATGCATTTTTACTTTTATAAATGACCTTGTACCAGTAACTCAACTTCCAGTTGTAAATTTAAGACCAATAGAGAAAAATTTTGTGACCCAAAAAAAGTATTGCTGCAAAGAGGATTTAACCACCACAGAAGAGAATTATACCAGAAATAATTCTTTCTAGAGTTTGATTAGTCTTGTGCTTACTTCAGTAGCACAAAATATACTAAATTTGGAATACTACTTAGCTTTATTAGCCACTACATACATAAAAATGTATATTTAAAATATCCAGTGGTTAAAATATATTTGTGTGACAGGAAATTTATAGAAAAGTTCAAACATAACACACAAACTTCATTTTTAAATATGCTATTTGATTCCTTTTTAGTATTTATTTTCTGCCTTCTCTCACCAGAAGTAAAATCATTTTTAAAAGTACTATGATAACCTTTTTGAGGATTGTTTTTTGAAAGGCATATCCTTCTTTTAAAATTCACTTCATTTCTTTAAATAATGACTGTGCTAATTGTATTAAGTTTAATAAAAGAAGGGGGAGAAATGCAAAGGATAATGGCATAATAAAAATATCATTTATGGATAGATTTTATTCTAAATTCATTGCTAGCTCTTCAATATTCCATTTTTCACAATAATAAATCTTTGGATGCAGATGAGTTACTTTGACAAAGTAACTTCATCACTGTCTTTAAGTTGTCATGAAGTTGAATTCATCCCTTTAATATAGGCTCAGAATGCTGCCAAGAAGACTAGGAGGAGGGGTTCTTTGAGGCCTCTAGATGGAGACATTGTTAAGGAACCAACCCTGGGTGACATCTCTGGGGATGCAATTAGTGGGCCCTAGAATCACCTGTGCTCCAGAGTTAGGGTCTCAAAGGCTTATAAATTCCCATCAATTTTCATTCCCACAGCTTTGTAGAGATTCTGCCTGAGAACTGCAGCAGTTTCTCCATTAGAGGTGGGTAGAAAACGTTTGTCTTATTTTCATATAATGTTTTTTAAAAGCTCCAACATTGTACCTTAAAATGAACAAATTAACTTTCATTTTGGATGGCTCTATGCAGTATGTATATAGTCCAATAACATGACTGTTTAATTAAGGTCTGTTTTCCGGTTTCATTGATTTGGGGGCAGCAGACACAGACCATCAAATGTGATTCAGGTTTTCAGTTTCCTCCTAGAACTAGTCTCATTATGTCTCATGGACTTACTATTACTTCACTATTGAAGTAATGGGTACTTGCTCCCTGTGATCACCTATATCATAATTTTATTTCTGTGATTTTAGCTAAGATAACATGTCTCATAGAATAACCAGTGAGAGAAAAAATTTCCTTAGGAAAATTATCCATTAAATCGCCACATACACACAAATGTATTTAGAGAAGCATAATATATAATCAATGCAATAATGGATCATTTTTAGATAAATCATTTATCTTATACTAAAACAAATGTGTCAATGTTTTAGTAGAAAATGTCTCAAAAAGAAGGATATGTTTGAGAAGAACTATTTCATAAGCAGGTGCAAAACCCTAAGGAACTGCAAAGCCCTCTATTCCTTGTTTCATAGCACAGAGTCTTTAGAAATACACTCAAGGAGACATAAAACTCAGAAAGGAAATGTTCATTTTCCAAGTTACCCTTAACAGGACTGAAAATGTTCAAAAGCAAATTAACTTTCTTTTCACTTTGTCTAATAATTTTATAACAAACGGACATTCTAAGTTTCAACTATTTCTATAATGTTTTTGAAGGTTATTAGTATAACCTATTAGTGATATAAATTTTATGCTAATTTAAAGAAAAGCCACCTCTCATGTTAGCCTCCCACTTAATGGAATTCATAAGAATATCGAAAATTCCTCTGTGATCAAAAATAGCATGCGTAAATACTCCAAAATCAAGTCATTTAGCTTCATTTAACACTTTTAGATACTGATCAGATGGGGCCACTGCATGCTGAGCAAACTTTCATATAATAGGTCACCTCTCACAAAAACAAAAAGAAACAGTCTCCAAAGAACCAATATGAACATGGACACAGAGGGCCAGCGATGGAAATCCACATGTGATGTATGCCTGCTAGGGTAGAATGACTAGAAAATGATAGGGACCTGATAGTGAATGCATTGAAATAATAAAATATTTTTCAATTATTCTAAAAAATAGCTCAGATAATGTCTTCATGATTCAAATAATTTAAATGACTGCCGCTTGTCTACAGCTTATCTCAGAAAGTCATGACATGGAGCTCAAAAATGTGCAATAGTCAATGTCAGTGTTAATGAAAACGTGACCTAAGGAAGAGGATGGATGGGTGCTTAGGATGGGAAAGTAATTATAGAAATTGGCATAATGCCATATAAAATATTCTTACACAAAATTAGAGATGACTAAGATGTTCTTTGTTTAAAATTTTTTCTGGGAAATTTACTGTTGCAATTTATAATGTTGTATATAACCAGCAACACATTAGATTTGAGCATAAATAGAATAGATACAATTTGGAAATATTCCTTTGGTCTGAAAGTAGATGTTTGCCAGGGGAGACTGTGGAGAGACCGAAAGCTGCAGATAAAATATTAATACTGATAAACACAGAGAAGTCAAGACAAGAAAATGCATGTGGAGACACAGAAGCAATATCCTATAGTATAGTGTTTGGGGATAAAAGGAATGTCAGCATCTCAAAACAGCTTGTCTCTCAGTGAAAAGGAATGCAGATTAATTTAGAAATATATTAGGATTTGTTGATTAGACATTTTGGGGAAGTATACATGCTATTATCATCTAGATTGATTTTTTTTTTTACTATCTGCAAGTATAAGCACATTAGTGTTTTCTAGATTTAAATATTAGCTGTCTAAATGATTGTTTCCTACACATGCAAAGCTTAATTATAGCCTCTAATATTCAAATATCATGTACATTGACCTAACTGCAAAGAAACCCAAAAGTTTGATCTATTCCCCCCCCCATTCGTTGTCACTCCTTTCTATTAGATATGTCCAAACATGAATTATGATAAAGATATTATCTTGTTTTGGCTTCCAAATGGTAGACTCATCTCCTTATCTCTGATTTTTTTTTTCCATTTGGTCCATGTTAACGTTAAATTTCACCAAAAAGAAAATTCTCTAACAATTAATTTTTCATTTTTTAAATTTCAACTCATAATTTCTATTTTAATTCACCAATTTATTATCTTCATAACTACAAGAACACTCTTTTATTTAAAAAATAGATAGGGGTTAAATCATGTATTCTGAACAAAATAATATGAAAGCTCATAAAAAATCAATTACAAACATTAGTTGGGACTTAAAATTCCTCACAGTCAGTCAAAAACATAAGATATAAATGTGGCTTCTATTGTTTGCACACTGCAACTGTCAGTGACAGTACTAAGGAAAACTTGACCAAGGAAGTAGAAGAGGGGAATGTTTAGGGCAGGAATATTTTTAGGAAAAATAGCCAAAATACTATACAAAGTTTGGAAAGAGAAAATTAGAGGATGGAAAGGATGTTTTTACTTAAAATTGTTGCTTTTCAGGTAGTGAAAAGACTGGAATTTTCCTCAAGGTATTGTCTTGACATCTAATAGCAAGTGTATATATGAATTCCTTGAAGACTATAACAACTTCTCCTTTTGGACCCCAAATAGATGAATTTCAAGTCTCTTACATGGCTCCAGGGAATCTCACCAGAGTCACAGAATTCATTCTCATGGGAGTCTCAGATCGGCCACACCTCCAGATCCCACTCTTCTTTGTCTTCCTGGTCATCTATGGACTGACTGTGGCAGGAAATGTGGGCATCATCACCCTCACCAGTGTGGACTCTCACCTTCAGACCCCCATGTACTTCTTCCTCTGCCATTTGGCTATTGTCAATCTTGGCAACTCTACTGTCATTGTCCCTAAAATGTTGACCAATATTTTAGTAAACAAGAAAACTATCTCTTACTATGAATGTGCCACCCAACTGGGGATGTTTGCTATTTTCATTGTAGCTGAGGTTTTCCTGTTAGCAGTGATGGTATATGACCGCTATGTGGCCATCTGTAACCCTCTGCTGTACACGGTGGTGATGTCTCGGCAGAAATGCGTTCTTCTGGTATCCCTCACCTACCTCTGTGCGGCTTCTACTTCTATTGTGGCAACATATAGTGTATTCTCTGTGGCATATTGCTCTTCCAATCTAATAAATCATTTTTTCTGTGATAGTGTCCCTCTGTTAGCATTGTCTTGCTCTGACACCTACCTCCCAGAAACTGTGATTTTGGTATCTGCAAGTGCAAATAATATTTTTTCCATAACTATAGTTGTAGTTTCTTATTCCAACATTGCTTTGGCCATCCTCAGGATGCATTCAGCAGAAGGAAGGAAGAAAGCCTTTTCCACGTGTGCTTCACATATCACAGCGGTCACGATTTTCTA